TTGGGTTAAATTACTCTGGCTGAAAAATGAAGCCAACGTTAAGTACCAATAACAGTACAGTAGTTACTAAGAATGGCCATCTGAGGCTCGGCCCAATAGGAAGTAACTCATGACCAATCTTAGTAACCATCAGACATCATCTGAGGACGATATGGCCTCTAGGAGCAACAGCTGACTTTTCATTGCTACCAATGTAGCCAGTGGTCAGCTTGACCATGACTTTGTTTTCAGTGTGCCGCATTACATTCTGACAAATGGTGGAACCCATCATCAATCATCGTCTATGTTTGTCTGATAGACTATATATGTAGCTGTGAACACACCATCATTTCTCAGAGCGAAACATCCTGGAGTAACGCCCATTCTTAATGTTGTCATCGGTCTTCATTAGCTAAAACAAACTTTAATATTTTTCCTTTTGTTAAGCAAAACCTTAAAACAAGCACAATAGTTCAGAGAAGAAAAACTGTATGAGCCGTGATTTCAGAGAATACAATTATTGGACATCTGGATCAGAAATATGCATCGTAAAGGTCAATATGTGTTTGAGAAAAAGCTTCTGGCTAACCCCAGATTTGTGGGAGGAATAGCCAAATGACCCAGCCATGACTCAAACCAGGCCACACAGAGACAAAGAAGAAGAAGTAGAAGGCTGGAAAAAAAGCAGCGGACAAACAAAGAGACCTCATCCAGAAGAAAGAACTTTTATTGACGAATGACAGACACTTGGTGGCGACTAGCTACGAGTTTGGGATCTTGTAAACGCATGAAAGTGAGTTCATTATCTGAGCGAGTATTGAATGGTTGAGAAAAGAGATGTATAAGTAAAGTACGGAGGATAGAGCCAGTTGAGCTTGAGCACAAAAGCTCAAAAACCCTGGCCTCTCCAAAAGAGGCTTGTGTGGAGAAAAGTGCAGCTTCATGATTCCAACTTTAGCTGTGGTCACAAAGTTCAGTCGCACCCTTAGTGTCTGAAACAATGAGTGTGTGGATGAGATTGAGACTGACTTTAACTGCGGGAACCCTGAGATGCCCCCACCCGTGGACATAAAACCTAATTAAACAGTGTGTCAGCACAGTGAGGGCCACACCTGATTGTGCGGTTCATGTAAAACCGAGCCACCACGCCCTCCTCAGCTGTAGACCAGACGGGCAAAAGGAGAATGCACGACAGAGAAGGGAACCGTGCCTCTGGATTTATCCTCAACCAGTCATATATTACAAGACAGAAGTGCTGAACAGATGTTTACAGGAAGTGTTTGTCCAAGTTTGTCATCTGTTGATGCTAAATGAGCCTTTAAAACCAGTTTGAGGCACGGAGCCCTTTTGCTATGACTTATTAAACTGATGCTAAGCTTTCATTTGCTTTTAAGAGTCACAAACCCATCAATTAAATGCCTTACGTCAGCAATCATTTTACCAAACTGCCCCCATTTACATTGTAAGTATTGCATAAAGTAGAAGTCATTTACGTCAGACTTGTTAGTGTTAAGGTGGCAAGACAAGATAAATACTAAGAACTGAGCAAGATGTGGAGGACATTTAAGCTACTTCTTTGTGAATTCTTGATTTTTGATAACTTACTTTGTGGTCCTTAAATTATCAGTGACAGCCTTCATTCCTCCTCAAAAGAAAGCCTCGTTGTTAAATCTAGGACCTCTTTAAAATGTTCCACAGAAAATTGGCAAGTTGGAGTGCAACTCTGCAGACTATGATCAAAAGAAAAGGCAATTTTAGCTAATTATGCTTTAATGCTAACATCACCATGTCATCACGCTAACATGCTCTAAATCAGTGGCTAAAATGTTTTGTTTTGTTCAGTTTCTTGCTTCTGTCACATGTTTTATACCGACTGAGGTCCAAACTGCTCAATTTTTCAGCAAATAAATCTGATTGGTCGAAAAACATTAGCAATTTTGGTGGTGACTTTTTGTACAGAGGAGTTGGTGATGGGTCCTGAGGCTAGAAAAGTTGAGAACCACCGCTCTAAATGACCACACAAACAAGCTATTACATCTAATATCTACTCTATCTGCTATCTACAGCTAAGCTAATGGAAATTGCGTTAGTTTTGACTGATGATGGTGGTGCTTTACAAAAAGTGTAGTCCTACACGTTAACATAAATCTAAGGGGTAGCATGAATATGTGCCCCAATGTAGTTAAAAGTCCACCTAGTTGTAGTCAAGACATTTTGTTGAAAGTCAAAAATACCTCATGGTGGAAACATCTGCTGGGATCACAAAAGATGAAGTAGGATTCATCCTCTGAGGACCACTGGTAAAGTTGAGCAACAAAACTTTTGTTGAGTCTTAGAAAAATATGATGGTTTGGGTTGTTATATTCAGTCGACATTTCCAGCTGTCTACTGTGACTCAAAAGTTGTTGACCTGTCTGCCAATCACCGAACAGTAAGGTTGGACAAAGACAACAAAACAACACATCGAAACAACATTTTTAGTCCATCTAACATGCCAGTCAGTCCTAAAATAATTCACTTACAGAAACAGGAAGACATTTATATATATATATATAGCTCACTCCTCAGCTCCATGTGGTCGTTGTTTGTCATGTAATTATACAGAAACATGATGCATACAGCCACAGAAAATATTCTTCTGCTGGTAGCATCTTTGCTCTTTAGAGTTTCCAATTCATGACTTTAAATCAGTTTACGTTTGTCAGCTTGGCGTCTGACTGATGTACACTAATACTGGACAGGAGGAGCATGACAACATGTGAAATGATAAATAATCACATGCAAATTCAGGGACTAGCTGCAAAGGTTTGAGTCATCAATAAACTCAAATACTCACCAACATTCATAGACTGAGCACAAAGTTTGCCAAAATTATATATTTGGAAAAACATAATGACACTCCTCTCTTGTAATCTCTAATTGTCTCTCTCTCACACACACACACACACACACATACACACTCACACACACTCTTTTCTACCACATCACACACGCACAGACACAGAAGCCTGTAGTACTGACATGTGAAAGCTGTGTCCTCAGCCTCACTGTGATCTTTGTTGTTTTCCACCGTCTCAGCCTCCATCTCTCCCACACAAATCAGATCAGCCAAAAATGATACATCCTCGTTGGGGTTTAGCTCCAGCGTGACTCAGAACAATAACTTAAGATGTTTTCCGTCACACTGCATTCTTAACTATCTCGGTAGCATCAATTAGCAAGTGAAGGTTCCTTCAAAGGTGATGTTAGTTGACATACAATCAATTCAAAGCACAAACGCTTGAACAGAATAGTTGAGAAAGATATGGTGAATTATTTACATGCATATAATCTACACAAAGAATTATTTTATGCCACATTTTGACTCTGAGTTTATTGAGACCAAATTACTAAGATCAAGTGTTAAAGAGCTTTAAAGGTATAATATCGAACAATAAAATATGTTTGAAATTTGGTGAGTTGTGTTCTAGCATTTAAACAAACAATGTTAAGGGACAGAGGATAGTCATCGTCACACTGGTTGCAGCTCCAACTCCTAATCCTGTCTCTGTTTGGTGCAGGTGATCCCCGACTTACTCTGACCAACTTTAATTTTGACTGAACTAAATGAAGCTCTAGCGTAAGTTCAGTCAGGAAGACTATATAACTGCCTTCACGATCGGGTCTTTCTCATTCATCTTTTTTGCACGCTTACTCTCGTTTCCGCCGTCATTCTTGAGCTGTCATTTTCTGGGGCTGTCATTGGTTAATCAGCTGTCTCGTCAGCGGCACTCACCTAACCAATGGTATGGTGTTCCGCCCTTATTTTCAACCTATCATCCTTCCGCTCCCCTTTTAAATATGATTCTTTCTCTCCCTTAGTTCCTTCATGCTGATGTTTTGTGCGTCCCTCCACCTCCCCAACACTGCCATCTCGCAGAATCATCATCCATCATTTCTCATCCCATCTGTTCTCATCAAGTCATCAGCTTCACCACCACCAGTGTCTGGACTCCATGGGGGATCTATTCTGCCGTCGCTCAGAATTGTCATTCTACACATCGCCCACCCCATAGTGTCTAAGCACCAAAAATATTTCTGTCAAGAAACATTTCCATATTTCATTGTAATAAATAATTGTCTTTATTCAATTGTCTCTTCTGATTGAACTTACTTTGCATGTGGTGGTGTTGCTTTTAAGTAAGATAAATATCACCAGTCTTCACATTTCAGAACAGCTTTACTGATAATTGTTGCATCTTCCACCTCATTGTTTTTGTTTTAGGAAAATAAATGTCACAGTCATTGCATTAGAAGAACAGTACTGGGTTGCAACAGCAAAATGTGTCCTAGTTTCAACTTTAAGGGAAGAAGGTGCAACTTTTTGATCCCAGTAGATGTCACCCTTGAGCACCAGCATGAAACCAAAACAAACTGCCCCGTCCATAAACATGACGTAAACAAAGCTCTGAAAACAACACAGCCAGCGGGACTTGAGCGCCTCACTCATTGTAGACAGTCATGACACAGAGAGACATTTAAGAAGGAGTTTAGGCACTACTAACATTTGTGGCTTTTTACCCCTAAAATGCGTCTTATGTGTTTGTTATGAGAATCTGAAGCTGATCAATAGTGCTGTTGTTTTTGAATCAGAAGCTTATTAATTGATTTTCCACTTCTTGAAAATCTCCAAGATTTTTGAGAACATTAACAAAAATCTAATTGGACATTCGTCAAGAACAACATCAGTTAAGCTGTGAGAAAAAACAGGAGAAAGGAAGCACTGCAGGCACCTTGCATGATGTGACAACTGCATTACCTCTTGCAAAAAAACTCCTCTACTGTCTGTCAGCCCATGAATCAACCAACAGGGATTTCCTGTATTAAGTTCTCCATTTAAATCAGGATGTTCATGCAGCACACTCAGTCATGTTTAAAGTAATTTAAAAGAATTTGTATCTAAGTTGAAGTTTAGTTCTTAAAAGGACTCAAAGTTCCTCAAAGCCTCACTGAAGTGAGTCTAAACTGGTTGCTAAACTTACCCATTCTCTTGGCCAGCGACTGAAGATTAAGTGTTCCCAGGAGGGTTCATAGTTACAGCTCGTGGTTCTTTTCTTCTTCACTCCAAACCGTCTCTCTCCTTCCTTGTATCTTTCACTCACTCTTAACTGTGTCTCTGTGTCGCTCTGTCTTGGAGCCCAGCTGGGGCCGACCGGCACCAAAGCCTGCTGGAGAAGCACTGCTCGGAGTCTAAACGTGACTGGCCTTAAAGCTTTTTGTTGGGGTAGAAAAAAAAGCACCACATCTCACTGTCAGTCAAGCAGCGGAGCATAGTTTCAGCTGGGCCGCCATCCAAACAGACATGAAACTATTCTATTTTGGTCTGCCATATGAGCGGTGGTGCTGCTCAGAGGAGGGGTTGGGGGTAGAAAGATTCTGTGGTGGAGCGGAGTAATTGCAGAGTGACCAGTTATGGTGAGATGTAATTGCAGACCTCATCAGATGAAGAGAAACTGCCAACAAGACAAGGTAAAGGACTTTTAAATAAGACTTTAAAAAGGAAGAAACAACACAGACCACATAAATAAATGGGGGAGCTGGGTTCCAGATGTGGCAGCAAGAGGAGGGAGCAGAGGAGAGGAGAAGAAAGAGAGGGAGGAACAGAGAAAGAAGGCCAGATGAACGAACTTGCAATGGCAGCAGAATGAAATCTCATTTCTGACACGGTGAAAGGGTGTTTACCTTCCCAGGAACAGTTGCACAAGGAGGAAAGGGGGTTTGGGGAAGGTGAGAGGATGTCGGGCTGGCCTTATGTTGTTTCTGGACCTTAACCATGATTTCTCTTGGGTGTCTGGTTTCACATCGGCCTTGGAAACGACTCCCTTATGGAAAAATTGGGAGCTTTAAAAATGAGGAAGGAAAATGAAAATATAAACGGCAGTCGGCTGGTTCCCATTAAGAGCGAGGCTCAGCTGGACTGAATTGATGCCGTTCATCTCGCTACGTATTCTTGAGTGAGTAATTAACACATGATTATGGGGAATGGACAGCTCAGCGCACACACTCTCCAATGTGCACATAAGGATCTGTTACATTATATAGTGTCAATAAATATTAGCTTTAGCTTTAAGTCAGAATGTAAACAGCTAATTTCCTCAAAAATGTTACCTCATTTCCTGGTGAATTCAGCAGGAGATTACTCATACATGCATATTCAAAGGTACATTAGGTACTTCCTAAAGAGACCTTGTTAGTAAAAGAACAAAAATCTGTGTTCTATTTCATGCAGCTAACCAGATAAAAACCCTTATTCAGATTTTAAAAAGTACTGGGATTGATTTAAGGAATAACAAAACTCTGATTGACAAGAGTTTTTGATGAACTTGATGACACTTTCAAGTCCGGATGCACGAGGCTAAATATGAAGCTAACTCTAGCAGACCCTAGGTTTAGCTAGAGACAGCTAGCCTGGGTCTAGCATAAGGTAAACAAAATTGCTACAAGAACCTTTAAAGTCTAGCCAACCAAGTGGCAACCTCCAATATTTAAAAAAATATGCCAATGGGGAAGTGTAAAAAAACTGCAGTTCCTCGAGTGGCCACTTGAAGCCAGATCCAAAAGCCCCATAAGTCCCAATGACTAACCAACAACAGGGGAAACAACACATAGATAACTTTTTTTGAAAAGCACCCTCACCTATAAAATCATTTAAGAAAAGTTAGATCCTTTCACTTTTCCAACACTTGTCCCTTATACTAATTTTAAATTTCACACACCATGTGTTCATCTATTGCATCACTACCCTGGGTTTGTTTGTGTTAGCATGATGTTACATTTCACAACAAAGCACATGAATAAGTAAAGTGAATAAGCATACACTTTGACTAAGTTGCAAGTCTTAACTGTGATTTTTGTTTGATTGTTGTTGTTGTTTTGTGTTGTCCATACCAATGTGCGTTCATTTGTTCAAACCCACCGTGCTGGACTTTCTTTCCAGCCAGCGCTTCCTGACATTTACGCTATTTGTGATGTCACTGCTGATGTCACTGGAGCAAACCAAGTGAAGGGGTTTTCTTTTCTGCAGGGTGTTTCTTTTTGTTTATTTCAGACATCCTTGAGTAACTTGCTGCAAGTTATTTACTTGTAAAAGGTCCATTTGTTAAAGTGAATGAGCCTGTATGAAAGAGAGAATGTGATTTGGTTTCCATGTTTTCGAGATAATGTGGAAGTCAACCGCCTTTGTTTTGGTTCAAGCTAAAGAAGTCTCTGTGTTAATTGAACTGCCTATAAAAGCAGTCAGAGCAGCTTCTGCAGAGGAGAGAGGAGAGGCTGTGTTGTCTTTATAAACGTGCTTTTTCTTTAAGTTTAAAAGTCAATTATTTCATGATCATTATTTTTATGCACAGTTGCAGAGGAAAAGGAGTGCATTTTTAATGAACATTCACCCCTGGTAATAAATAAATATTCTGGAGCGTTTGTCTAAAGCTAACTTCACCTACACACTTTAGTTTCTTCTACACAAGAATACTGTAAACAAGTTATTCAATGATGATCTAAACTTTATTCATGTTCAAATAGTGATAAATAAAGTATCACTAAGGTATCATTAAGGAGCAATATATAACTCTACAACTATTGTTTAAAATGGGTACAGCAGTCCAAATTTAAAACATTAGAGAGAACTGTCTCCCCCTCCTCTTTAGAGTCGATGCTCACACAGGTTGCAAAGTCACGGACAGCTTCAGTGTTTAGCCAGCTCTGCATCGGTCTGTAAACCTTTCTGCGTTCTAACCTCTCTCCATTTTTCAAAAGCATCTCCAATATTGATCCTAGTTTGAGCACGTTTCTGCTCGTGGAGCTTATTAGAAACATGCAGAGGCTTTTTAGGTCGGGACAATCACTTCTATCTGAACTAGTTCTCTTGCCCACTTCCATCGCTGCAACACCTGTTGGGAGTGTAGACCTGGATGAGAGAGTTAAAAAACATAGAATGTTTCCTTGAAAAAATATGGAGGGACATATGTCCATATTTCAAGTTTATACAACATATCTGATACGCTGTCAAGTGTTTAGAACCACTGGTCTAAAAAGCCATAATGCATTGTGGGGTGGTTGAGTATGATGAGTGAGCTCCTGTATCATCCTTTAAATTTATGGCCAAGTTAAGATACATCCGAATTCAGACCGCACTACTTAATTGGACGTCACACAAAGTATGAATGGCATGAAAGTAAGAGGTTATGAATACAGTAAGGTAGATTTTCATTTCCTTACTGGTAGACACACTCAGCTAAATACTTCTTTGACATGCAGATTTTTCTTTTAAATGGCCAAAGGCATTTTTGGTAGCATTTGATTCCTTGGTTGCATATTGTGGTGCCGATTAATTTCCCCACCAGTGGACGGAGTTTTCAGAGTATGACGCATTTTGCTCTGTCTCTTTTCCCCTAAAACATTTTAAAAAGCAGCATCTTTCTAAGCCTCGGGTTTTGAAATTGGTTTTGCGGTGAAGATTTCTGGGAACTGGACTAGCGGCACTGTCTCCCCTCTGAGGATGGGGGCTTGCTTCTCGGTTTCTCTTATACGAACCATCTAATTTCCAACTGGAAGGGCCCCATTCAAAGCAAAGCAGCTGTGTACCATTAGGACCGCTATTCTCATTGGCATAGTGGGATTGTTAGATTACTGCTGAGAAAGACGCTTCAAACCCAAAAGCGACCCACAAATCGGCCCTCAACCTCACCAAGTTTCAGAATATGGAGAAGGGGGTTGGACGGGGGGGGGGGGGGGTGTATGATTTTCCTCTTCAGTCATGCAGGAAAAGTTTCCATGTGGAGTTTAGCTCCGACTTCAGCAGACAGATACTAAGACAGAGGGGGTGCATGAGTGGAAAGACTGTAAAAGCGACTGACAGATGAGGGTTTAAAAGCTTGAGAGAGGAAAGAGCATAAATCTCCTTTTCTGTTTTTACTTCTATACCATAAGTACACATATTTTTCATACACATTCTCTCATAGATCATCAGAAACTAATCATTTGAGTGCCTATTTTATACACAAAGCGTGTCCAGTGTTGGTGACTGCTTCTTCCATCCAAAGCAAGATGTTTCACAAAATGCATCTTTTCTCTTAGTCCTGACAGCTCTTTGTGTGCTTGGCTGTGAGATGCAAACTGTGACAAATATCCTGCATTTGCTCTGGCGCACACTTAGCATCCATCCGTGCAACCAGGCAGCATCGACTGTATCGTGTTTTTCAATTTCACTCTTATTGAATGGGCTCATTATCCCCTCCATTTCCAAACGTACATCGCCTTATTTGTCATCCAAAAACTGCAGCAGGGCCTTTATTTATCCTCTCTTTAAGTTGTTGTTTTTAGCTTGTCTGTGATTTTTCTGGAAACACTGCAACTTAAATATTTCACAAAGCACAAGCAGCACATGCAGGGAATGTTTTTGATGGCACGTACGTCTGTAATTATGTATATTTCTCTGGCCCAGTGTGTGCAATTAGCAACATTGAACTAATGATTCATTTACTGTTTCAGCCCTAAAAAATATTCAGTTGCATGCTTATTTCTCAGTGATAATGCCTCCATTGTCTTTCTTTTTTTTATATTACTTTTTAGTCATTAGTCCCAAAAACTGGACACATCATTTCATCCATTAACCAAAAAATCCTTATTAAATGCAACTTTTTGAAAGAAAAAAGAATGATTTTCCATGTTTAAATGTTTACTGAAAGTCTGACGACCTTCATCTATTTTGGTTGCAGTTTTATTTTTCATTCTTTGAGGTTTATGTGTTGGAGCATGATTTCTCTGCCTCCTTCTCACATGCAAATTTACCATTTTTAATTCATCAAACCCATTAAAACCACACATCCTTGTTATGAGATGCTGGGTCATTGACATCCATCAGTGATACACCTACAGGGGTGATTAAAAAGTCATTGTTTTATATGTCATTGTTGTCTGCACAGCCTTGAAAAATGGCATCATATTCAGACATCAAGAAACATTTTTTAATCACCATTTTGTCTTTTTGTTTTCCCCTTTTGTGGATTGTATTCCTTTTTTGTAATTGTACCTTTAAAAATAAACTTCTCTTGGCCTCATACAACTGAACCTGGAGGTCTTATTTATTACTGATGGAGACTTTATTTGATTGTTTTTACACAAAAAAAACCCTCAAATCTGACCTGTGAGATTCTGCAGAGTGAAACTTTTGTTCAGGGTAATTATGTTGCCACCTGTTGGAGTGCAGCTGTAAGAACAACAGCATCTCTGAAATATAGTGGAACCTTTTAGGACTAAAAATGAATCCTTGTATCAGCTTGTATTGGACATGTTGAAGCTTGTTTTGTTCTTTAACATGTGAATCAAAAATGTTTTTTGATATCCTATCAAAGTCAGAAATGTGTTGATCTGTCTCCAAAGCTGTAAAATTTTTGCATTCATTTTGGGACGGCAGTAGCTCAGTCTGTAGGGACTTGGGTTGGGAACTGGAGGTCACTGGCAGTTGGTCTGGTAGCTGGAGGCTCTGGAGCAAGAGGTGCCAGGGTACTCCCAGAGCACTGCCCAGGTGCCCTTGAGTAAGCCACCGAACCCCCACTGCTCTGATGCGCTCCCTGACGTCTCTCCATTAATGTCCGCAGGTCCAGTTTGTGCATCTGTGTGATTCGGGCCTATCTCTCTGGATGGGTTATGTCTCTCAATAACAGAGTGTAAACCAGAGTTTCCCTCAGGGATAAAGTATATCAAGTTAAACATCTTTAACTTCTATTACATCATTTTATTAAATACCATATGTCCTGTCGTGTGTATCCACCTCTGATGGAGCTGAAGAAGAACACATCTGGCTGCAGGTTCGGCTGCCTTTTATTAAGCTATTAGCCATGCAGTTTTTTTTTATGTATCATTGTGCATCCATGCCGCTGTGTTGTCGGTCAGAAAATAGTCCCACTGAAACTGACGTGTTTACACCTGCAGACTGTCTCTGCATACAAAGTGACCCACACTTCGCAACAGTAGTGTATGAATGTTTGATTTTAGCCCATGTGTAAATGTGTGCTATGTGTCAGTGGAGAAAAGTGTAAAAATCACTCACTAATGCCTTATGGGTAATCATTTATAATTCTTGTTTGTAATGAATCAACTTCCAATCATAGCGTACAAATATATGCCTCTCATGATCTCATTAGTTCAACCTCTGTGTGCACCTTTAAAAACCTTTGAAGAACAACACAAGTACCCCAAACCCGAGTGTATCTAAAATACATTTTAATCTTGCTGAAATTTGTTTTCACAATATCGTTTACAATATTAATGTGTCGTCATTCTCTCTCCGTCCTCGCTCAGCTCTTCTTTAGCGTCTCGAAACAGAACTGTACAATCATGTTCATGTAAATTGTTCTACATCAAGGCACAAGACAACAGCCGTTGTGGGGGGGCCTTGGGTAGGCTGATCTTTAATGGCGTCCCTCTGGCACACAGGAAAACAGGGGAACCCTCGAGAGCAGAGGGGATTGTGGGAAATGTGGGAGAATGGAGCTCAGATGAGGAAGAGCGAGGTGGGTCGCATGGAGGAAATGTGCTCTAACGAGGTGAAAGGAGGAAGAAAATCAGGTGATAACCACTGCTGCTTTCATTTTATTTTCCAATGATAGTCATGTATAAAAAAGACGGACCATGTTTTTTTTTTTTTCTTTCTTCAGGAGTTCATTTGTTCATGTACAGAAACTAAAGTGCTTTTTTTCTCTTTTTTTTCTCTTATTTGCTGAAAGCAAAAGGTTTCACTAACAGGATGGAAATGGGGTGCGAGAAGTCCGGAGGGGTCTTTTTTTTTCTTTCATTTCCAGTAAGAACGTGAGGGATGGATAAAGGGCCAGTTCTGCTCAATTTTTGTTTTTGTTGATTTTTGTTCTCAGGTTTTTCTGGTGTTTTCTTCTCAGGATTCAACCTCTGAAAGACACAGAGAGAAATGCAATGTTAATTTCTGCAAACCATAACACAATGACTCCAAAACGATTGAATATATCGCATTAAAAAATGGTACTTCCATTTTTCTTTTCTTAATCCTTTAGTTGCAACATTGTTTGATTTTTTAATTTAGCTCGGAGTAGAAATAAACAATTTTTTGCTGATGCAATGAAAACATTTTACCGTTTCCCTGAAGGTGTTGGAGTTCTCACATCTGGACGTTTCTCCTTCGCCTGCCGAAGGCCTTGGCGCCGACGTTGGTGGGGACGAAGTTGCTGTTGCCCATCCCCCCCGATCGGCTGAGGAAGTCTGCCAGGCGATGAGTGACGCAGGTTGCCGTGTTGCAGGCTCGCTTTTGTGCTGTAACGCTGCTTCAAGAGAGCAAACGAGGGGTTAATGCCCAAGATCTAGGCCTTAAATTCATCAATATGTGCACACAGTGTCCCTATGCACTCCTGAGGTATGTCATTTTTCTTACCTTTGAACTCGATGAGAGCCACAGAGATCATTTCCAGTTTTGTCTGTTTTACGTCAATTTTAGTAAATCAATTCCCATAGAGGGTTCTGAAATATCCCCATAAGAATGAAAATGAGCTAAGGCTTCCTGGTAGAAAAATACGTTTATTAAACAAGAAACATGGTGTGGCATTAGTGGATCATTTATTAATGCTTCCATTAGGTGATCTCTCTCAACCCTTAAACTTCAGCAGGCTTTGAAATGCCATCAAATGACTCCACGGACAGTACACACACACACAGATGGATGTCTGCACCGGCTCCTTAATCACATTTATGAAAACTAACTCTGATTGTCTGAAATGACGGGAACAAATCATTCTCTGCCAAAAATAAAGAGGGGGGAGGAGAAAGGAACGGTAAAGTTGGTTGCAGTTACAGTTAACTTCTCATGTCAGTCAGGCAGATCAAATCAACATGCACTTGCCAATCCCAAAACAATGAGGAAGAAAGTGGGACAAGGAGAGAACAGAGGAGGAGGAGGAGGAGGAGGAGGAAGGGTAAAAGAGGGGGCTGAGGGAGGATGAGGTGGGGGTTAGATGCTGTCAAACGTCTCGCCGTAGCTTGCATAGCTGTCGCTCTCAGGCGCACTGCGCTTCTTGCCGGGCGTTCCTGATCCCACGTTCGTGCGGGGGAATGTCTGCAACTTGTGCAGCTCCTGAGACAGTTTGCCCAGCACACAGGTGCTGAGGTTGGAGCAGCGCTTGGTTAGGGGCCTGTCCATGCTGTTGGGGAGGGGACACACAGAAACACATGCAGAAAACAGGCTCATAGGCATGGCAAAACATGCAGAAAATTCACTTAAGTTCTTCTTTTCCCCTATCATTCACGCAGCATTTCTCTCACATGCATTTCATTCTCATGCCACTTATAAAGAAGTAAAAATAACCCCCCCCACCCCCCCCACCCCCATCATCTAGCTACAGATTCATGCTTTTTCCTGCTCCGCACCCATCAAAGAACCTGTCATCCATCCCCTCATGCACCAAAACCCCCACCCCAAGTCAACCCCTTCTTGTCACATATCGCACACCCACAGAAAAACAGAAACCAGTCGCTTCCCCACTGTCATGCAACTCCACTTAATTGACATCATGCACACTTATTCGTTCCGTTAGCCGTATTTGCTGCTCACATGCCCCGCAGGCATGCTGCAAATAGTTGATCGTTCAAACAAAATCAAACTCATCCATGCACGAGCAGGGTCAGGACAGAGAATAGAATTTTTATGTGCTAATAACTATTTGTTCTTGTAATTGATTCTACTTCCTGATACGAGTACATACCTCTATGCCTGATTGAACCCGAGTTGGGTGCTAAAAAGACGCATCTTGAGTGGTGTTAAAAGTGAAACCAGAGTGAGATATAGCCCCTAAAGAGATCCACATAATCGAGCATGGCAGCCCCAAAAAAAGGAATGCCTGTGTTAGCGTTTATCAAAGCCAAAGGACTTTGGTTTCACCCATTCACTTTGGACATCTCAAACTGCTGTACAAAAAGGGTTAAGTGGAAGAAAAGTATTTTTTGTAATCTGCGTACCTGTTTCCTTCAGTCGCTTGCTGCTCCAGCTCCTCCGCCGTCATCTGCACAAACTCCTTGACAATAGCGTTGAGTAACCTTCGCGCCTCGTAGTCCGTGAGCGTGACTCGGTCTGACATGGAGTCTAAACCCGGTCTGTGGAGGTAATGGGGGGGGGGGAGTTAAGGGGTTAGAAGGGGTTTCAGGCAGAGGAGAGGAGATCAGCATTACATCTTTTGGCTTGAATTATCACCTGCAGATATAAGGAGGGTGTGTGTGGGTGTGGGCGTGTGTGTGTGTGTGTGTGTGTGTGTGTGTTGGGGTGTTAGGGTGGGGTAGTGTAGTTGAATGGATAGGAAAGGGGGGGGGGGGGGTAAGGGGGTTGGCTGGGACGTCAGCTCGGGGAGGGATGACGTCTGAGTTGGAGGGCCCTCAGCCAACGCAGGGAAACAATCTGCGGAAAGTGCCCCATCTGAGAGAGGGGCTGATGAGCAAGCGGCTTTAGATTTATGACTAAATCGATAGCTTCATGGGAACAGAGCGGGGAGTGGCTTCAACTCGGCTTTATATAAATATATAGATCTCATTCATCTCCCCCTGGAGTGTACTCTCTTTATTCTCTTCTGTTTGTGTTTTCTGCATCGATTATTCCCCTTTCTTACACAGAATTAACTCTTCGACTTAGATTAGAGGTAAAATACGAGACATAAAGTTAATATATTGATTAAAAAGTGACATTTTGTAATCTATCATTCTCTTTTAAATGGTTTTTGATTAACATTAAAGACATATTTTAAACCTGAGCTAATATTTGATCCCAAAATAAAGCATGAAATAAAGCCTGGATAAGTCTTTTTACACATTATCTTCTACAAGTATACAAGTATCTTCCTATTTCTTCATGTTTTCTTGAAACTTTTAAATGATTTTGCCAAAATTTCATAGAGACAAAAAGAAAAGAAACCAGATTCCTTGGCAATAAAAATTTACTACACTTCTATCTGGTTGCTTTTAACGCTAAAATCTGAGAATTAACGTCCGCTATAAGTCTCTAATGCTTTCAAGATGATGGAAAATGCACAACCTGATGGTCTGAAGGCATAAAAATTGGAAGTTGAGAGTCTCACCTGGCAGGAGCGGCTTGTGAGCAGTACATCTGGCAAATTACCAGGGCGTAGGCAACGAGGAAAGCAGAGATCTTCAACATAACCATGGTCCCCTACACAGCAAGAAAGACCAACATCAGCTCCATGTCCACAACACTGCTGCAACTCAAACTTCACTCAAACAACTCTTACAGTATTAAGAGGAGAAAAAAACACATATACATAAGTTAGACCTGTTAGTGTCTGATCCTGCGGCTCTATTGAGCAGATGTTGCAACAAGAAAAAAGAAACCTGTCACCTGTCACTTCTTTGAGATTTTAGCGACATCTCAGCTTTCATTTTTTATGCTTTTGTCTCCTGCTGCACATCCTTGCTTTTACTTCCACAACAACAGCCCCTCCCTTCAAAATAAAGCTACATAAAAAAAAAAAACCCTTCTTCTGCAAAAAACAAGATGTTACTCCAAAACATTCAGCCAAGAGCTCAGGACAGCTAGTTCTCTCTTTGTCGAACGCTGCAGGTCCTGAAGTGTGACATGTCTGTGTGTGCATGTGTGTGTGAGTGAGTGTGTGTGTGTGGGTATGTGTGTGTGTGTGTGTGTGTGTGTGTGTGTGTGTGTGTGTGTGTGTGTATGTAGGTGGGGGTCCTGGACTGTGCAATGCCTCTAGCTCTTGCAAACACTGGAAGAGGAGGGGTGAAAAGGGGAGAGGGAGGGAGGACTCCAAGCTTGCCAACTCCCTAAGGGACCAGTGCATTAGTGTAATGAGCTGCCAGCACTCTCTCTCTCTCTCTCTCTCTCTCTCTCTCTCTCTCTCTCTCTCTCTACGCACACACACTCCAACCTGCTTGTCCATCTCTTCTTTATTTTTCTCTCTCTTTCACTTGCTCTTCTATCCCTCAGTTTCTTTACATTTTAAGCTTTTTTTTTTTCTCTTTCATCTCCGTCTTTGGCCTCCAATTGGCAGAACTGGACCCTCACCAAGCAGGTGCTGGTGATGCTGCTGACCCCAGTGATCCCTCTCCAATCCCATTACCAACACAATCACATCCCTGCAGACTAATAGAGACTTTTTGTCCACATGCAAACAGCTCATCAGGTACATTTACAGTCATGTCAACAGCAATAGTAAAGTCAGCACTTACCTTCGGTGATAATCACCAAGCAAAAAAAATAAATAAATATAAATCTCTATGTATCTCTTAGCAAAAACACAATAAGTTGACTTTCTCTCAACTTGCAGGACAACTCTTGATTCTGTTGCATGCAGCGCCAACGCTCCAGCCTATATATCCCACCACTTGGATTTGTGCATTGACTGTGTAGGTGTTTAATTATCTGCCAGCGACCAATCACATCGCTCTGATGATACGGCCGGCCAATGGGACGTCTCCTTTCGGTCCTGGCTCACTCATGGGGGACATGGCTTTTGCGCTGACGTCATTCCTCAGTCACTAAGTGCTCCATTCACAAAATCCACCAGTCATTTGGACCATTTGCTATCCCCCCAATTTGCATTGATGTCATTAATTAAATAGGAGGCAAAGCGAACCGGTGGCCGAGGAGAAGCATCACCAGCAATAAATATTTTAAGAACCTTCCAAAAAATGTTACATTGCATGCTATATCTCAAATGCCAAATCGATAAGACCCCCCCCCACCACCACCAATAACCATGCCACCCTCCCAGCTAAGCACTTGCAGGCGGGGCCATCTGCTGGGGAGGGATGTATACTACAGTGACGCACTCATGGGCTCTTCATTCATAACGCTGTTTGAAGAACTTCAGCACTACACCCACTGTCAATATAGACCATCTATCACACAACCAGCTTATGTAATCAGCTTGTTTTCTGCAGACATGATTTGATTCACCACAAATTATGAACTCACGGCACTTTACATGTCATATCCTGAGTCAGAAGGGTCAACGCTGCTCATAAACTACTTCAGAACTGCAAAGATTTGTGCAATTTTCACTTCCTCCAAACTTAGACTACGTGTTTTTTTTTGTCCCTGTGATTTACCTGAAACATATCTCTCCTTTAGCAGCAGCACTGTCTGCATTGGAACCTGAGCCAACTATGACAACATCCCTGCCCACCACAGTGAAACATCAAACCATATTGAGTTCATAAAGTGATGCCACAGTCGGCCCAGTAATGATAACTGCCCCCACGCCCTCCCTCCTCCCACACACTGAGTAAACGAGTCGTCCTCGGCAAGACCAATCGATGACAGCCTCCGACAAGAGCCGTTTCTCAAAACCAATTACACAACTGTTTGTCGTGCACCGTCGTCTCAATCCCCTGCCTTTTCATTAGTGTGCAGGGCGGCATGTGTGTGTGTGCACAGTGGACATAATGAATGGCCGTACAGTAGGTGTGTGTGTGTGTGTGTGTGTGTGTGTGTGTGTGTGTGTGTATAAATCTGTGTGTATGCTCTGGATTATATGTCAGAGTAAAAGAAGGGGAGGGTTTGCCTCTCCTTGTCTGCGTCATAGAGGAACTCCATTAGACTGGATGAGCCTTTTAGTGCTATTGAGCCACCAGGCTCACCCATGTCAGACACTAAATCACCGCTGAACAGACAGCTGCTCAGCCTTAAGATATGTCGAAGAACCTACTTCACTTTTCAGCCTCCAAATCAACTGTCCTGCCGGCTTTATGGCACACTGAAACATAAAAGAAGACCTCCAACTTGTTAACAAGATTACAACTTTTATCTTCAAATGAGCTTCAGTCTTTAACTTTTCCTGCAAAGGTCTGAGCCGCCTTTTTTTTTTTTATCGTAGGTCTTAATCTGGACAATCTGACAACCTGTGGGACATTTTAGAATATCTATGCCCAACTGCTATGTACTAGAATTTCTCTCACTTAACATGCCTCCCTGCCCTCCCACCTTTAGCAATGCTTAATGTTGCATCCTCACTGCAGGAGACCAATCTCAGACTTTCACTGGCAAAATACAGCTGTGGTCATGAAACTCAACGGCCATTTTCACATGCATTCATAAAAATTCTAAGTGAGAATTTCAGGCAGACTGCCCCTGACCCCTGTCCAATGAGGGGGATGGGGGTCTCAGGAGTCAGTACACAACTTTAAAAGAACAACACAATTTAGTTTGACATATTCATTATATCAACTCAAGATCAAAGAAGAGCAAACTGACAAACAGAAAACATAATGAAGCAGTTTCATTACATGCACAGAGATGGAAAAAATCTGGGTGAATTCAGATTGAAAAACTCCACTTATTGCATTCACACATGCACTTCAGACTTTCTGAAGATTTCAGGTGTTTTGTGCAAGTTTGAAAGCACCATATCAGTACAGAACATCATCCTCTGAATACTGAAATTAACAACACAAAAATTAGAGCTAGGACAGTGGATAGCATCAGAAATTGGGGAGAGAGAGAGAGAGTTGGAAATGACATGTGGGAAAGGAGCCAGAGGTCAGATTTGAACCTGGGCCACCCGCTCAGAATACTACAGCCTCTGTGCAAGGGGCGTTCAGACTGACCACTACGATACCGGCGCCCTGGAAGGATTTTGTAAACATTTTACAAAACGTTTTAACATTAGTTCATGTCAGCATGATCGTCTGCTGAATTTGCAGAGCGTGCTTGGACTATGTGGCCATTTAAAAACCTGTAATTTTGCATTGCATGAGCTACAAGTTAATCACTTTTTTATGCTATTGTAACAGTGCTTCTTGGATGATGTTAATTATCCTCGGTTGTCTTGCCGTTAACTATAACACTAAACATACTTGATTAAAGATATATTCAGGTGTGGGTAAGTAAAAGCACGGGGACAACTTCTGCTGTGCGTCTCATACTTTTTAGTGTCCGTCTGTAACAGAGCGTGACATATCCAGACTGACCAACAACAACGACACCTTACTTGTCTTCAAGCAATATCACTCCTCCAACCAAGGCATAGTGCATCATATCAAACAGATACTCTTGTAAAGTACAAATTGTAAATATAAATGAAATTAGCATTAAATCAAATAATATATATTATCTCAACCGAGAAAAAGATCTATAAAATAAAACTTCACAAAAATAAATCTCATCTCCATCTTACATACTGCCCTTTGTTCAGATGAAATTTCAAAGGTTGAGAAAAATAAATCTCATCCCAGATAAAACTCATTTGCAAAAAAATCACGTCTAGCTGTGCCGACAAAGGCAGCAGAAAACTAGGCACATCTTAGACAAATATACATAGATCTTAAAATAATATTATTGCATGAAAAAAACCTTAGCCTTTGCTTTATCCAATTCGACACTAAATATAAAGTGCATCATATCAAACAGATAATCTTGTAAAGTACAAATTGTAAATATAAATGAAATTAGCATTACATCAAATAATATATATTATCTCAACCTGAGAAAAATAAAGATCTATAAAATAAAACTTCATAAAAATAAATCTCATCTCCATCTTACACTATTGTGCAGTTTTCTTTCACAGCGCTTGTCTTTTATATCATGCAAAAGCTAAAGCACATCTTTGTGGCATCTGCATATCTTTCTACCACAGTGTGAATGTGTTCAAAAAGTACATACATATTTTCTTCTAGGTACTCAATTTTTTTTTTTTATTGAGGAAGTCTCTTTTAGGTCGTTTGCATCACTCTTCACCCCTGGGAGCTGCTCCCACTGTCCTGAACCCTCCAAAGTTTTTACCTCAGATTTGAAAAAAACTTTTGAGCATCAAGTCGATACACTAACCTTTGAAGCCACAGCTGAGATCAACACACTCACTGTAGTGTAAGTTATTAGTGAAGACACAATGACTTGCTGCTGTGTCTGCCTCTGCTGCCTCTAGAGCTGTATTGGATGTAAAAGCTGTGATGCTATATGTCATCTTAATGGCTTAGCTCTGTTGGATCCATCAGGAAAATGTACACCTGCAGAAATGATGCTAACACACATGTTGTTACTGGACATGTAAGAGTGCTGTGCAATAGGTCAATATAATGAGCGAGCTCGTTCAGGAGGTGATGTATGTGTATGATGCAGACATATTTAGTGGTTCAGTGCACACGTTCACACACAACCAGGGTCTGACATGTGTGTCTGAAATCCCTGGTGATGCCCCTGAATGCAACCATATGGAACTAGCTAAGTTTATCATGTCTTAAAGCAGCAGTAACTTTTCAGAATTCAAATAGTAGATTAAAAGATCCATTTAATAGCACAATAACTTTCAACAGGGAGAATGGTGTCCCTTCCATGTCCACAGCACGGCCTGGTTTCTTTTTTATTGCAGTATGTACCTGTATGGCAGCAGGTCGGGGTCAACTCAAGAGAAGTGTGTATGGCACAGAATGACTGAGGCTAAGAGACGGAAGAGGACGGTGACAGATGAAGCCAAGAAGGAAAAAAAGAGCGGAGCATATTAATTATAAGTAATGTAAGATGGAGATGAGATTTCTTTTTGTGAAGTTTTATTTTATAGGTCTTTATTTTTCTCAGGTTGAGCTATTTGACTTAATGCTGATTTCATTTATACTTAAATTTTTTGCACTTTGCCTTTAAGGTTGCCCATGGTTAACGTTGGGGGGCGTGACATGGCTTTAAGACAATTGAGGTAAAACTTGTGTGTGTTGGGTCTGTATTTGTGATGCCATGCTAAGGATGTACATTAAAGGATAAGACGCACAGAAGAAGTTGTCCCCGTGCTTTAACTTACCCACACCCGAATGTACATTTATTCAGCATGTGTAGTGTTGTAGTCAACGGCAACCAAGGATTAAACCAGTAATAAACATCACCCAAGAAGTGCCGTTACAATAACTATAAGTAACATCATACTTTAGTAAACATCATATTAACACATCTAAAAGCAGACTGAATGCTCCTTGATAGTCTTGTCAGAGTGAAATATTCGGCTGTGATAAAACAAAGCCACAGCACATGTTGTTTGTTCAAACAGGGACGAATCCCAGCTTTCTCAGCTGCTAGCTCAGCACCCTTTCAACCTACACAAAACAATTAGAGTGAAGTTTGAGATTGGATATTGGATCTTCAGAGGATATTTGTTCTTTCAAACTCAGTACGACAAACAGACTAACGAGCGTATTCATCGATTCTTAGAAAAGGAAGAACAATTTACAACCTCTGGTTTCAATACTTGAAGAAATGGACAACAGTTTAGGCTGATTCTTTAAGACTTGATGACTTTCTGAGGAAATGCAGGGAGTCACAAAGAAGCTGATGGACGTGCATCACTGACTAATAATGTTAA